GTTACTGCATTGAGAATGTCACCTCGATTGGTGATGAAACGTTTGCAATACAATTGCCAAGCTCGGCGAACAACTGAACATCATATATATAGGTGTTGATCAATCTCGTGTAACACCACTCTCATTTCGAAAATATATCTGTCTGAAATATTATACGTGTATATTGATGGCTATAGGTAAAGTATATTTATTCCTGATATTATTTCCCACTTCTATATTCTTAGTACGCATCTATCACTGTTTGAATTAACGTGACCTTGAGCGTTGCGATGAACTTTGTGGCAGCTCGAAAGTTACGGCTCAGATTTGGACAACATTTTGTGCAAAGCATAGTGGAAATTAATTCTTTTAAATAGATAATTCCTGTTCCATGACAGTGTTTATTAAGTTGAGACCATGTATTCTACATTGCATATCTCTTTTCATTCAGTGCACAGTAAATAAGCAAATTAATTAAAATATTCCAACTTATTTAAATTGATAAATTAATTAGCTATAAACTACTCATGCACTATCCACAATACTGGCATAGTCCAAGAAACATACAAGTTGATCTTCGAACGTTGACCTTCAGGTGTGCCGCTCGTTGAATAAGCGTTTTGTTGTGTCACCATACCCAAGCCGGTTGAAAAATTCGAACGGCTTTTGCGTATAATTAAAGCCTAGAGGCAACCTAATCGAGAGGCTCATGAAGCCGATGATTCAGTTCGTGTCTTGTGGAGGTGCTTTGATGTGAACATAAGTCAAATTTGTTGGATCTTCAGTGAAATTTCTCCATCAAAACATAAACCGAGAGGGAGAATACCGATCAAATCAAAGCCAGACGATGGTTGTTTTTGATCGCAGAGGCGGAGAGTAGCACACAACCAATATGAGGGATAGTCCGGGATGATTAACTGTTTTATCCTCACATTGTCGTTTGGAAAATAATGACTCTATTTAAAGTGCAGCTGTGGCCATGAGTTATAAAGCCGCTATGAAACATCGACCAAAGTAGAGCATGTATTGGTTTTACCAACAAATTCAAATCGCGTCGCCCGTCCATTTGGCAGTGGGTTTATCTTACTGATGGCCAACGAGTAATTCAGAAAATGGTGACAGCTGATCGACTGAGCTAGCTTTCTCATGAATTTCTTTTTACCTATCAATAGAAGTAAATATTAATCCCGCCTGACGAGTTAGAATTGAAGTAAATAATGTATGATCTGTTATTAGTCTCCTGTACATACCGAGCTGAATACCGCAAAACGTTTTGCACTGATAAGAGAGGCTTTCGGTAACTGCTACTCTTTGGATGCATTCACAGAAGTCATATTTTTCATAAATGAAGGTTAGTATGTCTTTTCGCTTGGGGTTATTAGTATAAATCGGTTCGACCAAATTAAATATTATTTTAACATTGATGCAGTCTCTGGAGGGGTCAAGTTCAATGTCAAATTCATTCAAATACCGCATAGCATCTGGGATTTTAATTTAATCAAAACCTTTTTACTTTATCAGAAACAGGGATAAATCAGCTGCCTCGGCATTGGTCGTCAATGGTTAGGGTGCGGGGTGTTAGAGGAAACTGGCAAATTCTGTTAGCCAGCCCACTTGGTGGACTCCATGCCAAAGCTAC